TAGTCCCCTCCGCCCAGATGGAAGACATAATAACAGAAAAACCTCAAACTCCTGTTACCCATGTATGAACATCCTTGAATTCTGCAGACATTGTTTCTTTTGTCCTTATCATGGAAGATTTTCTTTCCCCATCAATGGCTAATGCCTTCATCTGCATTGTATCTTTCAGACATCTTTCAAATATCTTATTAAGAAAAAAGGATAACAAGATCCTTTTTTTCTTAACTCACTCCTATCCCATGTAAAATATTGATATTTCTCCTGTTCCCCCAAATTTTTTACCCCATAATTACCTTTAAACATATTCTTTTTTCACTTTTTCTTACTGTTCCACTTAACCTCTGAAGTGTTGCCTAAATTTAGTATCTCTGCTTCCCCACTTATTCATTGAAATCTGCATTTGGTCTCCATTATTCTAATGAAAATACCTTCATAAAAGTAACTATTGTTTTTTCTGTTATCTGTTACTATACACATATATACAAACACACACATCAAAACTTTGTAGGTAAAGCAAACATTTATTTGGTTACCATTGAGCACTTTTTTCTGGGCTCAGCTGGGAAATTTTGTTGGTTCTTGCCTGAGGCCAAAAATGTGGATGTACACATCTGCTCACTCAACTGGGAATAGTGATAAAGATGGCCTCACTCACACATCTAGTGGCTGGGAGAGTGTTTTAAAAGGACAAATCTCAACGGGCAGATGCTTAACAAAGCTTTGCTTGTGTGATGTTTGCTGAAGTCCCACTGTTCAAAGCAAAGCACATAATCATCCCCTGTTAATGCAGTAGAGCAGCATATAGAGTAGAGGAAACATTATGCAGCTCCTGACTGCACATTACAGAATCAATAATTTAACATTAAGTTTTCATCCATTTGCCCATCTTCCCCGTTTACCTCCTACTTAGTTCTCTTCTCTAAACAGGTCTTGATATTTACTATACTGCTGGAATTTTCTTATGCTGTTAGTATAGTAGATACAACAGAATCCAAAACATACTCCTAAAGAGATTAAATTCATCTGCATAATCAAAAATGATGAATGCAATTACTTGAAATCCCAATAGGTTTTTGCACAGAATATGATAACCTTATTCTAAAATTTATACATCCCAAGAATAGCCAAAGATGTCCATAAAGGAAAAAAAAGGAGGGAACTACCATATCAGATATCAAAATATAGTATGAAACAGGCAAATTAATAAAATTATTTATTGTAATCCAGAGGTCAATTTAACCAATGAAATGCAGCAGCCAGAAACAGATACAATCATTCTGAAAACTTGATATATGACTGATACAGCATAGCTTATTTCTAAGAAATGACTGAATTTTGCAATAAAGTTGATGTTGAGACAAATTTTTTTTAATGAAAATTGTTACCTACTCTATTGTTAAACACAAAAACTCACATTGTTATAAAATTAAATCTCTAGTAAAAACCTTTAAAATTTTACAAGAAAAGGAAATATTTTATATGACCCTGCAGTATGAAAAGAATTTTTAAGCAAGATGTCAAATACTTAAAAGGAAAATTATAAATTTAAATACATTAAAATTAAGAATTTTTTCCTAAAAGATGTCATAAAGTAAAAAGATAAGTCAAACTTAAAGGATATGTTTAAAAATATATAACAAACTAAAGATAATAATTTGTTCCAAGTCAATAAGAAAATACAAATAAACCTAAGAGAAAATGGACAAAAGATAAATAAGCAGAGAAGATGATGAATATTCAGTAAGTATATTTATACATTAATATAATCTAAACTAATTAATAATCAGGAAAATGTTACCTTTTGGTTTTGGAAACTGGCAACTCAGAATCCTGAATAGTGCAAAGTCCTCCAAGTAAGCTTATTCATATAATGGTTTTAAGAAGCCATTTGAAATATCACAAGAAAATCAGGAGGAAATTGGTTAAGAGGCAGTTTAATTTGTTGTGATATATTTATCCAAAAATTTAAGTCTTCAATAAATGAGTAATGCCTAATTAATATCATCAGTTTGATCCTCATTATAGTATAATAAAAAATGATATGATTTATACTGATAAAAATAGACAGGTTATTTAAATTTTTATAAATATTTTAGGATAAAATACCAAGAGTCTATGTAGCAATACTTTTGAAGACGTGATGAAGCCATAGTGAAAAATTATTTCAATCAGTCTTTGATCTGATATGAGAAGGCAAAATTTTAGGTACCTGGCATTCAAATAGCCAGAATGTTTAAATGACTATCATAGGAAAGGTCCACTATACCAGAGAACAAGAGAACAATTTGAGTTTTACATTCATGACTGCCCATCTGACATATTTAGGCAAGTTTTTAAAATATCCCAAAGTCACTTGAAGTTATTTTAATTAAATTCCTGTTATATTTAAGCTAAGAATTTCACTTGTTGCCATATACATTATAACCATTGGTTATGATATTATCAATTTTATCCAACTAACCACAAAAGTCTATGCATTTCTGATTACTATCTCTTTCAAAGAGCAAAGAGAAACAACAGTGGGGTAGGGAACTGAAAATGTCAAATAATGCATACTTTAAAAATTACATTATAGTGAAAATCAAATGCTTTACTTACTCTAAACAATATCACTGAGAAATTCCTTCTTGATACATATAACATTCTAACTGACCCTGGTTTTTTAACTCTATGTTTGTATTGGAAACTATTGCCAAACATTTTAGATGTTTAAATACTATTTAAACTTTTGAGACAAAGAAAGTATTTACAAAACATTCTATTTTCTACTCTTAAAAAAAGGAAAATTTAACTTTACATTGGGAATTTCCCTTTTATTGTAAAATATATGTAGATGTTGAGTACTAATTCTGAATACTATTTCTCCACTCTGACCTACTTTCATTTGAAAAGAATTCTCATATACATGAATTTTCAGTCAGTTTGGGGTTTTCTATATATATCCTTTTCAATAGTACAAATCATCTTGAAAATATAATCAATATTTGTCAAACAATTTGCAAAATATAAAAAAGTTATAAGAATGAGTATATCCTTCCTATGTTTTAAAAAGCAGCCTCATGTAAAACCTAACATAATTTAGAAAATTATCCCTGAATCCATTCATTCAAAATATTTATTTAATGCTTGTGATGTGCCACATTCTGGTAAGTATTATAGTTAGTAGAAATTATATATAAATTCTAACTTCCAAGACCTTAATAATCTGGTAGGAGAGAGAGAGAGACATGAAGAAACAACTAAAATACAGGGCAGTCAGTAAATGTTTTAAGAAATTTCAAAGAAAGACAGCTATCCTCAGCTTTGGAGGACAAAGATGGTTTTGTGGGAAGAAGTGAGAATTAAACAGAGATAAATTACATGGGTTAAAGCTGAGAAGTGAGAGAGTTAATCAAGGCTAGAGCAGAGTATATGAAGGGTCATAAAGCTTCAGAGTAAATATTATAATATAAAGGGGGTTTTACATCATGCCAAGGAGTGTGAATTAATCTGTGGCGAGAGAGATTCAGAGGAGGGTTTTAAACAGATTATTGACAAAAGTATATCTTTTTAAAATTAAATTCATTGGGGTTAACAAAATTGTATATTTCGAATGTGCAATTCTACATATGCCATCTGTATATTTGAGTGTTTACTACCCAAAGTCAAATCTTCTTCCATCACCAAGTATTTGACCTTCTTTACCCTTTTACTAACTCCCTCCAGCCCCCTATTCCTTCTGATAAATACCATACTGTTTTCTGTGCTTGTGAGTTTTCATTTGTCTGTCTTGTTTCTTCATTTGTTGCCTTCAGTTTTATATCCCATATGAGTGCAGTCATGTGGTTCTTGACATTTTCTGTCTGACTTATTTCTCTTAGTGTGATATTCTCAAGGTCCATCCATGTTGTTGCAATTGGCAGTATTTCATCTTTCCTTATGGTTGAGTAGTATTCTATCATATATATGTACCACACCTTTTTTTGTCCAAAAATATGTTTAGAAATGGAAGGCATTTGGCCTGTTTTATGGAGGATGGATGGGAGGAAGAAATGACTCGTGAAGAAAAGATAGTGAAAGGGCTCTGACAGTAGTGATGCAGGCAGAAATGGCAGTGGCCTGAAGGAAGACAGTACAATACAAATGGAAAGACTTGTTTCAGTTGGAGACACATTCCAGAGGTGAAATCAAAACAAATCAGTAATTATATATAAAAGGTGAGGAAAAGCGAGCAGTCAGTATAATTAATCAGCTTTCTTGCTTAAGTTACCTGGGATAGGATGGTACTCCCATAAGATTATAATGGAGTTGAGGGCCTCTATTTTTGCCTAAATAAGATTACATTTGATTGCTAGCACCTTAGAATATTTTCACTCATTGGTGAAGCTGCCTTTGTTTTTTCTCCCACCTGGTAGTGTTTATGTGAGATATTTCTAGTTACATAGGCTCTGTTTTGTTTCTCGCTAGAAACTGTAACTTATAGACAAGCTTTCCTTAGTCAGATCTGCAGTGTGGGTAGAGAGTTCTCTAATGACTAGAAGCAAACTTCTCAGCCGTGTACTCTAGATTCTTGGAGGTGGAAAGCAATAATACTAGCTAATGCCACCACAGGCAAACTTTCTATTATTTACTTTGTTTATCACCTTTTTATTCTTACACCTTGATGATGATCTCCATCTGTCCTTCTGAGTTATACTTTCCTTTGCTTTATTTTTACTATCAGTCCCATCAGATTACTTCCTATTTCTGGGCATTCTTCAATATGTTCCAGTGATTTTATTGACAGACATATATATTTTTCTCCAGAAATCTTGGTATGGTATGGGAATTAAAGAGAAGTATTGATGTATGCCCAATCTAATATCTTGAAAGGGAGATCATATAAGAAACCTATAACATTCTGACTATTTATCCTTTGTATATTTATAATTTTACCAGTGAATTCAAGTAAAGGTTAAGTTTGCTATTGTTTTCTGAAATGTTTAAAATTTGATTTTTATTGAGATCTTTTATTTTGACAGTTTGAAGCTTCATTTGAAAAATGGTAAGATCCTATTATGCTTCTTTTAATTTTTAATGTTTACATTTTGATTAACCTGCTATAGGTGAGTTTTATTTCAAAACAAACAGAAAATTGAAAGCGCAATTCTTCATATTACATATTAAAATATAATTTGAAAATATAATAATTAGTATATTACTAAAAATGACAGAATAGGAATCTCCAGGGCTCAGTTCCACCACAAAACAACTATAAATTTGGCAAAAATTGGTCAGAATCAACATTTTCCAAAGTCCCTAATTAGTCAAAAACTTACAACAACCATGGGAAAAGTTAATGAAGAAAGAGTCTGCTGAATTTTATTAAGAGAACACTGTGGCATTTTATACTACTTCCTGGCCATCCTCCAGCCCCCAGATCAGTGGAGGCCATAAAGAGGGCAACCTGCACTTGTGGTGCCCATTGCTAATGCCAGAGGGAACAATATGGACCTTATTCTTGAATAGCTGTGGTTCAGTATTTTGACCTATCTGCCAGCTCCCTGAAGGATTGACACAAAGGCTGGTCTACATTGTGCTTGACTTGTAGTAACCCCAGAGCTTGAACCACTTCCAGGGAGTACTTGTTGAAAGCATTTAAAAGCATACACTTGCCACCATTGTATGAGGTTATTGATATCAGTTGGAACAAGCATTTGACAGACCAAAATGCCTGGGAAAGAAGAAGTTGGGAAAGGAGATACATGAGAGAATAGGCTTTTCAAAGATTTCACATATACTGAAAGCTTTGAAAAGAAGTGTATACAGATGTTCAGTTCTTGACACATGCTCAGGAAAGAACCAAGAAGACCCTAATCTTTTACCTGTGGTTGATCTTTAGGATCTGCACAGGCAACAATTGATGATAAGAGGCAGAGATATAAACAGACTGGAGCCGATCTGTTAAGACTGGGAGGGTATTTTGTATGCTCTCTCTCTCTGTTTTGACTCCAGGTATTTAAGGTAACAGGCAAAACACAAGCTCACCAATTAGTTAATGAAATACTTACTTCAGTGGCCACACATGACAAGGAACACAGATGTTAAAAACGTTTAAAAAATCATTAAATAAATAAATAACAATGACGCACAACAAACAGCAACAAGAACCCCAACAGAGAGAGGATAAATTTATTTCCATTTCACATTAAAATGTTTAAAATGTTCAGTTTTATATAAAAATTATGAGGCAGGCAAAGAAGAAAAGAAAGTTTGTTGCATTAGCAATGAAAAAAGAACTAAAAGAAACTGTCCCTGAGGAAGCCCAGACATTGGACTTGCTGTTTACAGGCTTGAAATATTCTCAAAGAGATAAGGAGACTATGGACAAAGGACAAAACAAAATCAGGAAGCTAACATCTCAACAAATATATAATATTAATAAAATAGTTGAAAATTTTAATATTTAAGAGCCAAATAGACATTATGGAGATGAGAAATATAATATTTGAAATGAAAAAAATTAGTTAGAGGTGTTCATTAACATATTTGAGCAGACAGAGGAAAGCATCAGGAATTTGAAGATGGGTCAATGAGGCCAAAGAGCAGAAAGTCAAAGGAATGAAGAAAAATGAACAGAGCCAAAGAGACTTCAGGGACATCACCAAAAATACAAATATACCTACATTAGGAGTTCAAGCATGACTGGGGAGAGAAAGAATATTTGAAGAAACACTGGCTGAAAACTGCTCAAATTTGATGAAAACATGAATCTGTACTTCTAATAAATCAGAGCACTCCAAGCATGACAAACTGAGAGGTCAATACTAAGACACATTTCAATGTAATTTTTGAAAGCCTGGGACAAAGATAGTACAGGTTTCCCCCATATCCAAAAGTAGAGTATTCCAGTGAAACTTTTTGTGAACTGAAGTGACACAAAGCAAAGAAGCAATTATCATTAACTTATATGGAAATTTTTCTCAGACTCCCAGAATCATACTGAACAAGCTTAATTACATCTAGTTTTACACTAAGTGTGACACTCTTACAAGCTCTCTTAGGCTTTTCTGATACCTTAGGACACATCTGGCTAATTGGGTACACAAAATAAATTGAGATGAAGCAGAGTTGCTGACATAGTTCAGAGCTATCATGGCTATCACTAGACAGTAACCTGAAGCCAAAAAAAAAAAAAAAAAAAAACCCCACACAATAAACCACAGTGAAGGTAGCTACAAAGATAAAAACAAATGTCAGTATAATAGCATTATTTTGTTGTCTCTTTTATTTTCCTATATAATTAAAAATACAAATGAGCAAAACCATAAGTAGAAATGTAAATTATTGGCAGTGAAACAATGTGTAAATGTGCAATGTGTGAAAATAGCATAAGCGGAGGGAGCAGAGCTATAAAGGAACAGAATTCTTTAATGTTACTGAAACTACACTGATTTTAATTCAAACTTAATTTTCAGGAAGTTAAGGTGTTCATTATAACCACCAAGGGACCATTAATAAAAATTCTAAAAACAAAATAAATAAAAAACCTCAGAAATTCCAATAAGAAGGAAACTAAAATATACTAGGAATAAAACAAACAAAAAACCCACAACTAACTACAAAAGAAAGCAGCTATGAAGAAGATAAAGAGCAAAATATATATATAATAGAGAAAACAACAAAATTGCAGAAGTTACTCCTTTCTTCTCATTAATAACTTTTTGTGGAAATGTATTAAACTATTTTATTAGTTAGAAAGTAGTGGAGTGGATAAAAATAAATGATCCAACTGTATTGTGTCTATAAGAGAGTCACTGGAGATCCAAAGACACAAGTAGGTTGCAAAGGAAAGGAAAAAATATATTTCATGAAAATAGTAACCAAAATAGAGCTGCAGTGGCTATACTAATATTACACAAAACAGACTTTAAGTCAGAACATATTACAAGAAACAAATTATACTTGGTATCTTGATTAAAGATCACTCCATCAAGAAGATATATATTTTTCTTCTTATATATGTGTATGTGTATATATAAATTTATATACATTAATGAGTATATATATATGACATATATACACATATACATATATACTCTCTCTATATACTATATATATAGTGTGTGTGTGTATATACACACTATATATAGAGAGAGAGTGATTAAAGATCACTCCATCAAGAAGATATGTATATATATACTCTATATATACACTATAGAGTGTGTGTGTGTGTGTGTGTGTACTCTAAACATGTGTAAACCTAAACACAAAACCTCAAAATATATGAAGTATAAGCTGACAGGAGTGAAGGGAGAAATAAGCAGTTCTATAAGAGTGTGAAAATTCAATATGCTCACTTTTGATAATGGATAAAAGAACTAAAAAAAGATCAATGAGGAAATAGACTTAACCAACACTAGAAACATGTATACCTAACTGTTTTATATAATGCACTTCACCCAACAACAGCAGAAAACACATTCTTTTCATGTTCATATTGAACATTATTCATGATAGATCATATATTAAGCCACAAAACAAATCTCAATAAAGTTACAAACATTGAAATCATACCAAGTATCATCTGTGCCCCAATAGCATTAAACTAGAAATCAACAACCAAAGGAAACTCAAAAATGTATATATATATGTATAATTAAGCAATATACTAAAAAAATCCTAATGGATCAAAGATGTAATCACAAGAGACATTGGAAAATATCTTAAGATGAATGAAAAATGAGAGCAATATACTAAAACTTATGGGATGCAGAAAACAGTGTTTACAGGGAAGTTTATAGCTATAAATGCTTATATTAAAAAGAAAGTTGCCAAATCTAGTAAACTAACTCTATATCTTACAGAACTAGAAAAGCACAAATGTGCTAAAGCTAGCAAAAGAAAGAAAATAATAAAGATTAGAGCAGAGAAAAATCAAATAGTAAAAAAAAATAGTATCAATGAAAACAAAAGTTGTTTCTTTGAAAAGATCAACCATATTCACAAGCCTTTAGCCAGACTGGCAAAAAAAAAAAGACTTGAATTACTGAAATCATAAAAAAATTAGGACTTCAGACCTTACAGAAATAAAAATGTTTATTATACTATTAACAAATGATAATACTATGAACAGTAAATTAGGTAACCAAGATGAAATAGGCAACCCTGGCCAGGTAGCTCAATTTGTTAGAGTATTGTCTTGATACACCAAAGTTGTGGGTTCAATTCCCGGTCAGGGCACGTAGAAGAATCAACCAATGAATGCATAAATAAGTGGAACTAAAAATCCATATCTCTCTTTCCTTTTCTCTCTCTCTAAAATCAATCAATGAAAAAGGATTAAATAGACAAATTCCTAGAAACACATGAAACACATGAATATCAAAACTGACTCAGGAAGAAGTAAATCTAAAACACATCTAACAAGTAAAGAGATTGAATCATCAATCAAAAATCTCTCAAAAAAGAAAAGCCAAGGATCAGATGGCTTCACTATTGGAATTCTACCAAGCATTGAAAGAAGAGCCCTGGTCTGGTGTCATGGTTGGTTGGAGTTTTGTCCCATACACCAAAAGGTTACAGGTTCAATCCCAGGTCAGGGCACATACCTAGGTTGTGGGTTCAATTCCCAGTCAGAACGCTTAAGGGAGGCAACTGATTGATGTTTCTGTCTCTATCTCTTTCTCTCTCTCTCCCTTCCTCTCTCTCTAAAATCAATAAACGTATCCTCGGGTGAAGATTAAAAAATGTTGAAAGAAGAATTAATACCAATGCTTCTCAAACTCTTTAAAAAGGTAGAAGTGATTAGGACACCTTCCTAACTCATTCTCTGAGGTCAGCAGTATTCTGATGCTAATGCCAGATAAAGAAACAAGAAAAGTAACTATGGACGAATGACGTTATGACTGTTGATGCAGAAATACTCAACAAAATATGTTACGAGTCACCTGCATCCAGCAACATGTTAATGGAATTATATGTACATATCATGACTAAATTTCATTAATTCAAAGAACAAAAACAATCAGTGCAATGCATCATAGTAATTAAAGGAAGTGGGGAAACACACGTGAATATCTCAATTGATGTGGGAAGCAGGTGGCAAGTTCCAACACCTTCTTATGTTGAGAACACTAAAAAAACTAGGATTGGAAGGAAACTTTCAAAACACAGTGGAGGACATTTATGAAAAACTCCTTGACTGACATTATACAGGGGTGAGCTAAAGTAGGCTTACAGTTGTATGTGAGTTTACTCTTGTATCATTATTATTCATCAATTATTGTATTTTCCTCACTAATAACTGTAAACCTACTTTTGCTCACCTCTGTAATTAATGGGGAGGAGTATAAGTTTTCAAACCAAATCAGGAACAAGACAAGGATGGCCCACTGTTGACAGATTTCAAAAAAAAATTATTGTTGACACTGTTACAGATGTCTTCCATTCCCCCACCCCGTGACTTTTCCTCCTCCACCAAGCGACCCCCACACCCTGGCCTTCACCACATGGTCTGTGTTTATGGGCTTTGTATACATGCAGAGATGTTCTCTGGCTAATCTTCTCCAGTCCCCCTATCCATCTTCCCTCTGAGACCTGTCAGTCTGTTCCATGTAACCGTGCCTCTGGTTCTATTTTCTTCATCATTTATTTTGTTCATGAGATTCCACATATGAGTGAGATCATATGGCATTTATCTTTCCCTGTCTGGCTTATTATGCTTAGCATCCTATTTGCCACTTTTATTAAATACTGGAACCCTTGCACATAGATGGTGGTTCAGCCACTGGGAAGAACAGTTTGTTGATTCCTCAGGTGGTTAAGCCTGGAGTAACCATATGACCCAACATCCCACTCTGAGGTATATCCACAGAAGATTTCAAAACAGTTGTTCAAACAAAAACTTTACAGATGCTTATGTCATGAATATTCACAATAGCCAAATGGTGGAAACAACCTCAGATCCTGCCATGGATTTATAGATAAAGGGTTATGCTCTGCAATGGAATATTATTCCACCATAAAAAGTAATGAAGTGCTGATATGTGCTTTACTGTGGATAAACTTCTAAACCATTAAGCTAAGTTAAATCACTGACACAATCATTATATGATTCCATTTATATGGGACATCTATACTAGATAAATCTATAGAGATGGGAAGCAAATCGGTTGTTGCCAGGGGCTAATGGAAGGGGGAAAGGGGAGAGATTGTTCAATAAACAGAGGGCGTTCTTTTTGAGGTGGTGAAAGAGTTTTGGAATTAGGTGGGGTTGATGATGGCACAGCATTGAATGTACTAAATGCCATTGAAGTTTATCCTTCCAGCAGTGTGGTGAAGGCCGAGGTGGGGCGCTGTGTGGAAAGGGGGCAACTGAGGGACATAGGCGACATCTATAATACTGTTAACAATTTTTTAAAAAGTTTACACTTCCAAATAATTAATGTTCTCCTTTGAGACTTTTGTATATATGAGTTAAGACAAAATTGTGCTGGTCTAAAAATTAACAGAATTTTGGAATACAATACACAAAAACAGATCCAATTATGTATGATAACATACTACATCATGTAATTGTTATTTCAAGGCCATGAGGAGAGCACTATTTAATAATAGATGCTGGGATATTATTTTTCTATTTTTAAAACAAAATGCTCTTCTCACTGGTATGGCTGGTATGGCTCAGTGGATTGAGTACCAGCCTGCAAACCAAAGGGTAGCTGGTTCCATTCCCAGTCAGGGCATAAGCCTGGGTTTTGGGCCAGGTCCCAAGTTGGGGTACGTGAGAGGCAACCACACATTGATGTTTCTCTCCCTCTCTTTCTACCTCCCTTCCTCACTCTAGAATAAATAAATACATAAACAAACAAATGAATAAATAAATAAAAGCAAACAAATAGTAAAAAGTACATTGCCTTATTCAATAGAAATATTTAAATGAAATAAAAAATAAAGAAAATATACTGAATATATTTCTTACTTCAGAATAGGAAGATTTACCTAAATAAATTGTAGAATAACAATGAGACAAATAATATGCACCCATCAGAAATAGTAAATGGTAGTCAGCTATCCAGCTTTCTTTAATTTGTATTATTTCTTTAATAAGAAGAAAGTAATAAATTAATAAAAATGAAACTCCTTTTCTTGTTTATACTGATTTTCTTATAACTTTTGTCAGAGAAAAAATACTTCCGTTTAAATACAATAAACTTGTGTCACATAAAAATTTAATAAAAATAAAAAATAATAAAAAAATACAATATATTTGAGTCTAGGATCCAGGAATTGAACTGGAATAATACTGATAATAAGAAACATATTGTTATCCAACATACAGAACTTGGCTAAAAGATTCTTTAGAAAAGAAAATAGCATTTTAATTTGGACATTTTTCTAAACCTTATTAACTTCAAATTTGAAATAGTATTCTTGCTCCTCGTAATTTATATTGATTCTACAGAAATTACTAAACTGAAATTAGAAAAATAGTTCATTTAAATTTTTTTAAATTCCTTTTTCTGATAGCAACAGTTTCTAGGAAAGACTACTTTCTTTAAAAAAAACATACTGCTTAAATATCACCTTAAAATTTTCAGATCATTTGTAACAAATTTTAGATATCAATTAATTTATCATGAAGCATAGAGCCCATCTATTAGAATTTTGCTGTATTAATCACCAATACAGTGGAATTAATATATATAGTATATATATATATATATATATATATATATATATATATATATATATATATATATATATAGTAAGTTTTACCCCAAACATTTAAAATTCAATGCAAGAGCATCACCTGAAATTTGTTTCATGACTTTAAGTGCCATCCTCCTGTAGTAATTGGTTCTTGTTTTCCCGTATGCAGGAGCAGAGCTACGGAAGACCTGAAGGAGGATTGGAGTACTGCTGCACCAGTCGAAGAGGCCAAGCCCGAGAAGGAGAGAGGTAAAGTCGGACTGCATACTTAGATAAGGGTAATTGCATTGGAAAGATCATTGAATTTTTGTTTAATATATTTGTAATTTTCACAATGTTTAACAGTTTTATAACTCTTATGAGTGTCTAATAAAGAGCTTTCCACATAATTTGATTACATACAGTTTTTTAATACTTGAAATGGGGCTAGTGAGACTGAGGAGTTTAGTTTTGAAGTTTAACTTTAACTTAGATTTAAGTGGAAATAGTCACATGTGGTTCATGGCTACAACATTGGGCATCACAGCTCTACTGTACACAGAAATTACGATTAATATTCTTGTCACAATTTACAAAATGTAAAATAATTTATATATTGGAATAAAATATGTGTTACAATTCTTCAATGTATTTTAATATATTCTTGATATTATATGATCTCCTCCCCATTCCTTACCACACAAATTTGTTAAAAGTCTTCCTTTAATGAAAGGTAACTATAAACTGAGGACTTTTTAAAAGCAAGAATATTTTATTCAAAGCTGTAATTCATAGTTCAGCTCTATTTGCACTCTTTATGTCTACAATGAAGTTGAAAACTTCATTTATTACTTTTTAATTTTTTACATGATAAATGCTAGAAGAAAAATATGTTAACAGTTACAATAATTGTTTAACTATAATTATATTTATTATAAATGCACATTTGACTCTAAAATAGAAAATGGTATTGAGATAAGGAAAATTTATTGTAAATGTTTATGATAAAAAATATCAGGTGGTTACTCACTTATTCAATATGAAGGAGTAAAAACTAATTGAGATGGTATTCTAGAAAAAAATGAGACAGATGTCAACTACAAGAATTGGAGGACCCCCACATAGCATCTACTTTAGAATGCTGTGACAGAAGCAGTATAAAAGACATCTTGTGTGAACATCATGGATGCCTTTGGACACATATGTGTCCCATCAGAAGTGCTTTAACTTCAGTGGCATTAACTTCATCATGTGTTTCAGACTGAAATTTGGTTATAGAAATTTAGTGGATCATATGTTGGCCAAAGAACCCAGTTTTTAATGTGTATATTGTCATAAAAAAAACAGAAAATTAAGAATATGGAGTTTTCAGGATGTGGTAGAATTTGAGGGGGGTGGGAGGAGATTAAAGCCTGAATAAATAGAGACCAAATAAAGGACCAGTCTGGAAAAAGACAACTTTATGCAGTGCAATAGAGAAACCTGTTTTTCAAGAAATTTTTTTCAGGTAGAACACTGAATTTCTTTGATAAGACCGTAGGTCCAAAGCAGAAACTGTGTGACTACTCAGCTTCCACTTATAATTGTTATATAACACTACCTGCTGGTAGAAAATTATTGTCTTAATTGTCCAAAAACAAAACAAAAGAAAGCAAAGGTCTATTAGTTGCCTTCTTCTTGATCCAGTTTTACTATTTTTCTCAGCTTCAGTTCTTTGGGGGACTTTGCCTTTCTTGAGACTGTATTTGCTTATGTCTTCTTGTTATATCACATTTTTGTGAAAGTCACTGTTTACAAGCAGAAATGTCACTACAGTGGGGCCCATATGCATATTCCTTACTGATCTTTCCAGGGAGAGAGCAGATTGCCTGGAACAGAACAGGTTCTCTATTCATTTCTTCCATAAATAGGTGAATGAGCAGTCACATTAATCATTGTACTATTAAACCTTGTCATTTTAGAGCTGTGAACCAGGAATCACAAATATCTCTCATTAAGGGAATAAACTTGTGTTATAACTGAATAAATAGAATTTATAAACAACAGTGAAATTTTGGCAAGGCTAACTAGGGATGTTATTATCTGATAAAGTGAAGGATATTAAGTGTCTTGTTTCTAGGAACCATCTGAGGTTTTCCAGTATTTATCTGGTATAATAATTATGATTTACTTTTTTCATAGAATCAGAGGAAACACAGCATAATTTTAAAATGCAGCTTGTAAATAGAACTTGTATTTTTCCTTCAGATAAAATATTAAGCATGAAAGATATTGGTTGAGATTTAGCTATTCTAATTATTTTATAAAATATTCATTTAAAAATCTGTCTTTCAAAATTTATTATCAATGTCATGATTGCATTATGATAAGCAGTCTTTAAAAGGCTAGTTCATTTTTCTAAAATCCTCTTATATATATCAATATTAAATATAGTGATACTACTAGTACCCATGATCCTACCACCCAGTTTATAGGCTAATTCATTAACAAATGTGAATGTGTATTCCTATTTTAAGATGAAAAGTGTCCAGAATTAAAGCAGGAAATGGAAACATTGCTATCAGAGGCCATCCATCTCATTAAAAGTCTAGAAACAGACCGTGCAGAAGCTGAAGAAGCTTTAAAAAGACAACAATCAAGAAGGGAAAAGATAAACATGACAATTGATTCTTGGTCAATCTGGAGACTTCAAGAAATCCCGTTAGCTGTGCAGAAAGGTAACAGTAAGGATTTTCTCCAGATTGACAGTCACTTTGTTAGGCATGTTTGTGGCTCTGAGTAAAAAACAACTGTTTTAGTAACCATATGATTTTTGCATCCCAAATGGTTCACTTTTGATCGGTGCTGTTAATGATAATGCTCAGTTGGAAGGAACACACGATCGAACCTAGATCTGCTGTCATTTGGTGTGTGTTTGAAATTCCATAGCCGTTGTGGTACTCACGGGGTGTATAAAAGTTTAGCACATATTTCATATAACAACTACAGTATTTGAAGACTAGAAATCTAAAGTGATTGCTGGTTAGTATTATTTTCTACATCTTTAAATATAGGAAAACACAAGAGTTCTAAGTGATACTTTAGCAACTACATGCATCTGTTTTAAAGAATTCAATAGTACATTTTATTGGTAACTTCTATCAGGCAATAAAATTTAAGATGTTTCCAAGAACTATGCAGGTAACAAATGTTTCAAAAGATCAGTGGTGCCCTTTAGACTACAGATGAGGGGCTATTGGTGAAGTATTAAACAATCCAAAGGCATTCAATTTCTTATTTCCCAACACTGTGTCTACGTATGAAAACATGCCGGATACCTGATTCTGCCTGCAGCTGAAAGTTGTTTATGCTCTCTTAGTGTGAAAATCTTAATTTAGGATTCCCATGTTTTATAAATGGGTTATATTGTGGTGCTGATATAACCTATCATTTAAACCGAGGCACCTTTGAGAGAAAAAGGGATGCTATTATTCATTATTACTCTGGGATAACAGCCATTATCCCAATGATGTGTCAAATGATGCGTTAAACCAAACTCATATTCACCTGTTTCACGTCTTCTAAAACTGTAGTCTTTAAAGTAGGATGTACACATTTCAGGGATTGGCAGGAAAAGATTAGAAATTTTATTTATATTTAAAATATTTTTTCTTATTTACTTGCATTTTAATTTTGTCTTTATAGTGCCTAGCAAAATACCATTATCCAATGGTCCCTCAACTATTGTATTTTAATAAAATAAATTACATGTAGGTTGAATGGCTTTTTCTCCTCTTAAAGTAATACTGAGCTCACAGCTTGAACTCTCTTTATTTGCTCACTTCCCTCTGCAGAACTGAAGAAACAGGAAATGGGCCCACAGCCTAGCCTGGACTGACTTTAATCCAGACTTTGTCTATGCTCTTTTTCACCTTTTGTTTTCATCTTAAACATTGTTTCACTGTTGCTCAGTTACAGTTGTCCCATTTTCCACCATGATTCTCCCCTGACCTACCCACACCCACTTCCCACATTCAATCCTCCCCACCCCCGGTTGTCTTTGTCCATGGGTGCTTCATACATGCACGTTCCTTGATGACCCTTCCCCCTCTTCCCCCTATTGTCTCCCTCCGCCTTCCCCTCTGGTTACTGTCAGTTTGTTCTTTATTTCTATGCCTTTTTCACCCTTTACTATAAAAATTATAGTAACTTATCATTTAACTAGAAAAATTATGCCAAATCACTCTAAGTTCAGGTAAGAGTTGAACTTTTTTTGCCCAAAGGAGTACATTTTATCTCAGATGAAAGTTCAAGGAAAGGAGTCGTTCAGTAGCAAATATAAAACACACAAAGATCCAGATGTAAGTAGTGCAAATCAGTAGAAACAGACAACAGAATCTTACTCAAAAAGTTTTCAGATATTGGATTATATAGTAGATTATATAATAAATATATTGAATGTGTTTCAAAAATAAAAAGAGAAGTTTAAAAATAAAACTAAGGACTAAGGTACTATTTTTAAATGAAAGCAAAAATGAAAAAAAGACTTACTAGAAATGCAAATTATATTCCTTAAAATTAATAAGACAGTGTTTGGTTAAATAGTTTTTTAGACTAAGAAAAGTGATATGAGCTGTAAAATTTGCAGAAATTACACAGAATGTATCACAGCTACACAGGAAGAGGAAAATATAAGTATTTAAAAGCATGGACTATAAAATGATGCCCTGGCTGGTGTGGCTCAGAGGATTGAGTGCCGACCTGTGAGCCAAAGAGTTGCTCGTTAGATTCCCAGTCAGGGCACATGCCTGGGTTGGGGGCTAGATCCCCAGTAGGGGTCATGTGATGGGCAACCACACATTGATGTTTCCCTCTCTTTCTCCCTCCCTTCCCCTCTCTCTCAAAATAAATAAATAAAATCTTTCAAAAAATAAAATGAGAATGTGTAATGTACATCTAACAGAAAACCACAATGGAGATTATAATGGTACGACTTAAGATAATGACTGACCTTTTAAAACAAAGTTAGAGTGGTTATGTATGTGTAATAAGCAAGAATTGTACTAAAACAATTATGAACTTATAAAACAAATATTTTAATCCTGTTAATGATAAATTCAGAGGGCAATATTTTTATAATGCTGTAACTTTTTGTTATTGTTATTGTATGTTTAGAACATGAGACCTATTTGAGAGATATTCTAGAATTACAATGGCATCTTGAAGATATAGAACATCAACGAACCAAGTTTGAGGAACAAAAGAGAAAGTGGGAAGAAGCTAATGCAAAGCTTCAAGCAGACATTGATTATATGAATGAACTTGCTCCTCACCTGAATTCAAAGTTGATCCAGGAAATTGAAGCTCTGAAGGAATATACTAAAAAAAAAAATGAGGTAACTGAATAGTTGAATGGATATGCCTTTTACAGATTGTTACATAGTTACACAAAAATATCTCAACTCTAATGTCTCAGTGGTTTGAGTGCCAGCCTGCAAACCCTAAGGTGGCCAGTTCGATTCCCAGTTAAGGCACAGGCCGGGTTTGTGGGCCAGGTCCTCAGTTGGGGGCCTGCCAGAGGCAACCAACAGATGCTTCTCTGTCACATTGATGTTTCTCTGCCTTTCTTTCTCCCTCTCTTTCCCTCTCTCTAAAAATAAATAAATACAATCTGAAAAAAATTCTTTTAAATTTCATCTCTAAGAAGTTAATATGTCTTTAAAGGTTTCCTTTTCATGGAAAATTGACTTGCTATTTATTTCTCAAAGGAATTATTAAAATACATACAATACAGTTGATCGGTAATCACATCAACTGTATGGCCGTCCCATACTTTTATATTTAAGAATATTAATAGTATTTAGTCAAACTACTTACATTGGAGATTTAAAAAACATGGTAACTTTTGAAATTGTAAATTGAGCTGAGGGAGAATGCAAGTAGAATATATCGGTCATTTTAATTGTTGATGAAAATAAATGAAATAAAGCCCTTTTAATGATTAAACTATCATATTTGTGGGATTATATTACAAAAATTAAGTTCTTTATACCTGCCAAAAAATGAACAAATTTAACTTTGTATTATATTTAATAACTTCAAAGAAAATAAAGTCAAATATCTCCTGTATTTTCCTCAACAATTCCATTTTCTTCCCTCATTCTCCAAAGACAACCTTTTCATGAAATTTTTTCTAGGAAAGAATTATATATTTTATACATATTCATATATTTATGGATAATACATAGTATTTTAAATTTTCAAATAGTATAAAATGGTGTGTAACTTTCTGCAAATTGCGTAATCTGACATTATCTTAGAGACCAGGCTGGTGTTCATACATACAGATCTAGTTCATTCATTTTACTCACCATGCTGCATCAGATAGATATCTCACAATTTACTATTTACCATTTTCTCTTTTCTTGGTCATCTGAGTTGTTTCCTATATTTGGAAGCAAAAATACAGATTTGACTATAAACAGTAAGCTGCTGTGATCATGGTTCTCTCTATGCACCTGTGAACTTTTCTTGGCTATATAGGTAGTGGGTCATCAGTTGTACACAGTTTTAACTTTATATGTTCAATTGCTCTCTAAAGAGTCTCTAACAATTTATATTACTGGCATAGTAGCAGTGCTGGAGATTCCCCATTTCTACACCATGAACAAGAATATTAGTATTATTATTCTTTCTTATATAGTTTAATAGATATATGTCAGGCTAAAAGTCATTTCCCAATTTCCTTTTATTCAGGGTATTTGTAATGAGGTGTAGGTAGGATTATTGACTAGGTTTTTACTGAAAGCCAGTCCTAACTGAAGCACCTCACAGTTTTTTTCAACATTTTTATTGTCAGATTTAAAAATGTGTCAGTAGGTGTGTAAATTGGCATCCCTTTGTTCTCCTATAGCAGACACAAATTACTTACAGATCACTTACAAAGTGTCACAAGTATCACTTACAAATAAGTGATACTTTATAAAAAAGTGATAAGAGAATGCATTTTTCTTTCATATTATAAGCATAATGGACAAAACTAAGAAATGAAAAGCAGAATTATGAACAGTGGGAAACCTAAATACCTCCTCAGAGAGAAATAGAATATTTGCATAGGAAATATTCTATGAAAGCAAGATAGAATTGTAGGAAAGCAAGATAGGAAAGCAAGATAGAATTGTGTTTTAGAGAAAGGTTCTAAAGCATGAGTTCATGTGTTTAAATCCCAGCTATACGATTTAGATCTTAGGTATGTTTTTAACCCTTTGTGCCTCAGTTTCTTCACTTATAAAATTAATATGATAATAACAGTGCCTGAATCATAAGTTTAATGAGTACATGAAATAAATTGCTATATGGAAATATGCAGACCAGAACATATATTAATAGTTCTAATTGTAAATAGAAAATAATCTGGATGTGAAATAATAAAACTCCAGAAAAAGAACCGAACAAAATGGAGACAAGCAATCTACCAGATGCAAAGTTCAAAATACTGGTTGTAAGGATGCTCAAGGAACTTAGGGGAATAATAGATGAACTTAGTGAGAATTTCTTCAAAGAGATAGGAAACATAAAATTGCAGATAGAAAACATAAAAAAGAACCAGTCAGAAATGAAGAATACATGAACTTAAATGAAAAATATATTAAAGGGAATCAACAGTTGAGTAGATAAAGCAGAAGATTAAATAATAGATTTGGAAGACAAGGAAACAGAAAACACCCAGTCAGAACAGCAAAAACAATCCCCTCAAAATGAAAATAGTATGAGGAGCTTCTGGGACAACTTCAAGCATATGAACAATCACATCTGGGGATGCTGGAAGGAAAAGAGAGAGCAAGGAATTGAAAACCTATGTGGAAAAATGACAAAACTCCCTTAACCTGGTGAAGGAAGTAGACATACAAGACCAGGCAGTTCAGGGAGACCCAAACAAGATAAATCCAAAGAGGCCCACACTAAAACACATCATAATTAAAATGCCAAAGGTAGCCCTAGCTGGTGTAGCTCAGTGGATTGAGTGTGTGCCTGTGAACCAAAAGGTCTCTGGTTTGATTCCCAGTCAGGGCACATGCCTGAGTTGCAGACCAGGTCAGGTCCCAAGAAGGGGTGTGCATGAGGCAACCACACACCGATGTTTCTCTCCCTCTCTATCTACTTCCCTTCCCCTCTAAAAATAAATAAATAAATCTTCTTTAAAAAATGCCAATGCCAAAGGTTAATGACAAAGAGAGAACCTTAAAAGCAATAAGAGAAAAGCAGTTATCTACAAGGGAGCTCACATAAGGCTGTCAGCAGATTTCTCAACAGAAACTTTTCAGGCCAGAAGGGATTGGTATCAAACATTCAAACTGATGAGAAGCAAGGACCTACAACCAAGATTACTGTACCCAGCAATATTTAGAATAAAAGGATAAAGAGCTTCCCAGACAAAAAGCAAAAGTAGTTCATCACCACCAAACTAGTATTACAAGAAATGTTAAAACATCTTGAAGATGAAGAAGAAATAAAAAAATATGAATAATAAAAAGGCAATAAATACATATCTATCAACAATTACTTTAAAAGCAAATGGATTAAATACTCCAATTGTAAAACAAATTGAGATGAATGGGAGACAAAACAAGCCCCTTACATATGCTGTCTACAAGAAACTCACTTTAGATCAAAAGACACACAGACTGAAAGTAAAGGGCTGGGAAAAGACATTTCATGAAAATTGAAACAAACAAACAAACAAAAAAAGCTGAGGTAGCAATACTTATACTAGACAAAACAGACTTTAAAACAAAGGCTTTATAACAAGAGATGAGGAAAAACCCAGTAATTCCACTTCTGGGTATTTACCTGCAGAAGCCCAGCACACTAAATAAAAAGGATATATGCATCCATATGTTCATTGCAGTCTTATTTACAGTAGCCAAGATATGGGAGCAACCTCAGTTTCCACTCATAGATGAGTGGGTAAAGAAGTAATGGTGCATGTATATATATAATGCTATATGACAGCCATAAAAAATGAATCTTACCATTTGCAACAACATGGATGAAACTTGAAGACATAATGCTAAGCAACAGAAGAGAAAGACAAATGTGTAAATTTATTTATAGGTGCAATAAAAAAGGAAAAAAGGAATAAAAAAGCTTACAGATACAAAGAACAAATTGCTGTTTGCCATGGAGTGTTGTGGGGTGGGGGGTGGCAAAATAGATGAAGGGAGACAGGGTAAATATTTCCAGTTATAAAATAAGTAAGTCCTGGAGATTTAATGTACAGCATGGTGACTATAGTTAAACATTTTGCATATTTGAAAGTTGCTAAGAAATAACCCAAATTGCTTACATAATACAAGGCACATAATGCATTATTCAGGTCATGTATCATAGAAATGTATATTTGAAAACCTATATGATCCCATGAACAAATGTCACCCTAATAAATTTAATTAAAAAAGAACTCTAACAATTATTTTTTAAAAAGCCCCTTAGCCAGCATGCTTTAGCCATAATATGTAGATACTTGGAAATGAAGATCAGAAGCTCAACATTGCCTTCAAATTCTACAAGCAACTTAACCTCATAACATCACAGAGACACACAAATATTATCTATATAAACTCAAAAGAGTATTCATATGAAAGGCTGTATCAGTCCCACACTGACCCAGCCCAAATACTTATCTTGAAGATGAATTTGAATCATATGGTGTCACCCTATCTCCCAACACAGAGACCACTGCCCCAGTAATTCCTACATGCTTCCTCATCTAAAGGTGCTGAAAAATTGGACTTAGGATTTTATTTATTGGTCTTCTTCCTTTGATACTAGAAATTCTATTATTTTTTCCTGAGCTTTTTGTTTATTTAGCCCATCACCCTGGTGTGCTCCTAGCTCTCTGCTAAAATGTATATACCCATATACTGTTGTGCCTAAAGGAAACTCATATAGAAGTTGCTATTGTCTGTACTAGTCTAAAAAATGAGATTTATTGCTTTTCCAGGAGGCAACTGCCTCATATCAGTTTACCACTTCACTCCTTGGGGAAAGGTCTGCTTATTCCTCTGTGTCTTCTCTTACACCCGTCCCCCACACTTTCCAACAGGACATTCACCCCTTTTTCAAGTAAGAGCACTATAACCACCCCCTTCTTCTTAGTTTGACAGAGAAAGGACAGATGAAGGGGGAAGGAAGGATGTTTGTGCTATTAATAAAAACCATAAAAATGGAATATTTTGGACACTTGCAATAAGTTGGTAATGGTTACTCCTGAATGAGAACATTATCGGTTATTTTATTTTTTTATCTGTGTTTTCTGATTTTTCTATAAGGAAATATTTGATCAATAAAAACAGTAAAAGGTAGCAGGTTCTTTTGTGGGTGAAAAGATAATGATTTTATTTTGGTCATGTTAGCTGAAGTATTAACTGAAGTATTGAAGTTGTTCTCTTCAGTAACTTTTGTACATCTCTAGTATTGATGCCTTTCAGTGAAAAGGAAACTCAAAACGCTAGTGTGCTAAACAATTCACTAAATATTGGAAGAAAATTGATATAAAGAACTTTTTATTTAAATAAAAACTACTGTAAGTTTGTTCTCTTTCTGATCTTTGTCTTGTCTGATTCTTTTAATTAGCCATAAATTGCCTATATTAAAAAATATTTTTATTTCTAGGTAATGGAACTGTACAGACAAGTTTGTGACGAACTCAGAGAAGCTATAGAAGACTATGAAAATGCCAAATTAAAAGCTGAACAAATGAGAAAAGAAATGGAAAAAGATATTTGTAACGATAAAGGAAGCATAGAAACCTTCAAGTAAGATTTTTTCACAAATCCTACTTATATCACTTAGAAGTACAATATTAACTAAAATGTAATTTATATTTCTGTATAAAATTCATATAAAGAGAAAGGAATACATCTAAGTTACCCTTATTATCTATCAAGTTTATACATGAATTAAAATATGTATCTTTACATATATAAATCTATTTGTGTATAAATTCCTAAAGCACTGTTTTTCTGCATCATTTAAAAGCTCTTTATACATTTTGCCAAATTGTCTATGGATATCATATAGCAATAACCCTGCTATCTATGTGCAATAGTGCCTATTTATTTACTTATTAAGTATATTTTATTGATTATGCTATTACAGTTGTCCCATATTTTTCTCTCCTTTATCCTCCTCTGCTCCACACCCCCTTCCCATCAGCATTCCCCTCCTCTTAGTTCATGTCCATGGGTTGTACATATAAGTTCCTTGGCTTCTCCATTTCCTATACTATTCTTACTATCCCCCTATTTCTTTGTACCCACCTATTATGCTTCTTACTCCCTGGACCTTTTCCCCCATTCTCCCCTCTCCCTGTCCCCACTGATAACCCTCCATGTGATCTCCATTTCTGTGATTCTGTTCCTGTTCTAGTTGTTTGCTTAGTTTTTGTTTCTGTTTCTTAGATTCAGTTGTTGATAGTTGTGAGTTTGTTGCCATTTTACTGTTCATAGTTTTGATCTTCTTTTTCTTAGATAAGTCCCTTTAACATTTCATACAATAAGGGCTTGGTGATGATGAACTCCTTTAACTTGACCTTATCTGGGAAGCACTTTATCTGCCCTTCCATTCTAAATGATAGCTTTGCTGGATAGAGTAATCTTGGATGTAGGTCCTTGCATTTCATGACTTTGGGTATTTCTTTCCAGCCCCTTCTTGCCTGGACCTACAGGCAAGATTTTGATAAATCAGCTGAAAGTTTCATGGGAACTCCTTTGTAAGTAACTCTCTACTTTTCTCTTGCTGCTTTTAAAATAATCTCCTTATCTTTAATCTTGGGTAACTTAATTATGTGCCTTGGTGTGTTTCTTCTTGGATCCAACTTCTTTGGGACTCTCTGTGCATGTCTAGTTCTTTTGCCAGATTGGGGAAGTTTTCCTTTATTATTTGTTCAAATAAGTTTTCAATTTCTTGCTCTTCCTCTTCTCCTTCTGGCACCCCTATGATTTGGATGTTGGAACGTTTATGGTTGTCCCAGAGGTTCCTCAGCCTCTCCTCATTTTTTTTTTTTGAATTCTTGTTTCTTCATTCTGGTCTGGTTGGATGTTTATTTCTTCCCTTTGTTCCAAATTGTTGATTTGTGTCCTGGTTTCCTTCCCTTCGCTGTTGGTTCCCTGTATATTTTCCTTTATTTCACTTTCTGTAGCCTTCACTTCTTCCTTTGTTTTGCAACCATACTCAATCAATTCTCTGAGCATCCTTGATTACTGGTGTTTTGAACTCTGTATCTGATATGTTGTCTATCTCCTCAATACTTAGTTTTTTTTCTGGAGTTTTGATCTGTTCTTTCATTTGGGCCATATTTCTTTGTCTCGGTGCAGCTGTTAAGTTATAAGGGGGCAGAGCCTTAGGTATTCATCAGGGTGGGGCAACCCTCTTCCGTAGGTTGTGGTGTTGTATGTGGAGGAGGGGTCAGAGAGGTAACAGTGCTTTTTGCTCTTCCCTCGCCCCACTTTCAGGCACTTCCCCCAGTACCCATAAGCAAATTGGGCCCTTCTGTTGCTGATTCCTGGGTATGTGGGCTAGTGTACATTCTAGGACCTCGTGGGTCTCTCCAGTGGACTCTCCTGTGAGACTGGGATTTTCTCCCACTGCAGCAACCCACACAAATTTTTATAGCCAGAGGTATTGAGTCTTTATTTCTCTGCACTGGAACCCTGGGTTGCGTGATGTGTCTCACTCCCCAGATGTCTTCCCAACTTATTCATGCACAAATGTGTGACTGCCCAGTCTGGCAGCCACTGCCATCTATGCCCCAGTCTGCCACCAACTGCCACCTTGCCACTCGGCATCTTCTCTGCCTCGGCTTCCTGTCTCTGCCCCTCCTACCAGTCTGGATGAATATTTCTTCTTTTACTCCTTAGTTGTTGGACTTCCATGAAGTTTGATTTTCTGGCAATTCTGGTTGTTGTTCTTAAATTGGTTGTTATCCTTCTTTTGGTTGTGTGAGGAAGTGAAGCATATCTACTTATACCTCTACTGGTTGGACTGTGCAATAGTGACTATTTAAAATAAGATTTCAGCATGGGATATTATTAAAAACAATATATAGCCTTGCATTAACTATAAACATAGCATCCAATAATTTTAATTTTTTATTTATTTGATTTCTAATAAAATAGAATATTTAAAAATATATATGAACTATATTTTGCATATATGTAATTTTTATTTTAGTTTTGATGTTTTTGTGTTTTATGACATTTGTCTAATTCCTCTTGTTGACTTTAAACTTTTTAGGGTTCTATGTGACAGGCAAACTTTATTCAAATTGATCAATAGTTTAGCATAGAAAAACTCATATTTGCATGAGCTAGAATCACAGACCAGCACTGGCTGTTTTTGTGGAAGGCCACATAGGAAAAAAAGGTCCCTTGCAATCACCTCTTTAAAATAAGCCTCCTTTTATCCTAAATTGCAGTTTCTTTTGTGTAACCTCTAAATTATGTAGCTCTTTCGTGTTTACATCTTTTCTTCTTCTTTCTTAGTTTTATTTTTATTTTTTTTCTTGCTGTCCCATCCTTGTATTATCCAACTTCTGAATCAAAGTTCTCTCATTTGAAATCAAATAAAAAAGTGATTTATTTTAAATAATTTACAAATCACTTTTCTCTCAATCCCTCTACATTGGAAACATAAATACTGAATACTGATGAATATTTTTCTCACTGCTTAGTTTTGATATCTAAGTGGTACTTGTCAGGAGTTGCTTTGGGATAGGAGAACTTTCAGGAATACATGAATTTCATGGATTTACATTAAGTCCAAAGCTCACTTAAATATGCCTAAATTTAAATATAATTTTCTTTTCAATGCAGATATAATCAGCTGTGGGGTTTTTTTTCCTCTTAGGAAAAAGGTGGAACAACTTAACGTTCTATTCAATCACTACGATACATTAATTCAAAATGTTAAAGTTACTCTTGTGGAGAATGAAGAGACCATAAATGAAGTATTGAAGGAAACAAAGACATCAACAGATGAATTAAATGCTTTAGCACAAAAGGTGAGTTTTCATGTTTAAAAATAAAGAAAATACTGAGTTTAGTTTTGAACCACTCTGTTAAAACTTATTCTCTGTCAAGAATTAAATAGCAGATAGCCAACTTTCTGACTATACTGGTTTTCTATAGCTGCATAAAAAATTACCAGAATTTTAGCAACTCAAAACAGCACCCATTTATAATCACAGGCTTTCTCTGGGTCATGGCTCAGGTGGCCACTCTTCTCTGGTGCCTCCAAGACTGATATCAAGCCCTGCATGTCTTTCTGGGAGGCTCCAGGATGAATCTGATTTCGGGCTCATTCAGTTTTGCCAAGATACAGTCCCTATTGTTTTAGAACTGAGGTCCTCATTCCTTAGTGATGGTCAGAATGGGACCATTCCCTGTTTTTAGAGACTTGTATCCCCTGGCTAGTAGTCCTCTTCATCTTTAAACCAGAAATGGTGGGTTGAGTTGTGTCATGCTTGGTGTCACTCTGGCTTTCCCTTGTGACTCATCTTTCCTGTCTTCCTCTTCTGCTACATCTCATTCACTGTACTGAGAGGAAGCAACAGTACACGGAAATTGTCAAATGCTAAAAAGAAATAATAGTATCTTAGAGGGCAATAATATACACATTGTTGTAGCAATTTACATTTGTACCTGGAGTTACAATGTGACTTTTTTCCACTTTATATTAAGTCTCATTAATTATATCTCATTGGAAAATTAATCCATAATATTAACTAGCTGAGAGTATTTTAATGGCTTTTGCAAGGTCATTTGTATTTTCTCTTATTTATTTATTTATTTACATTTCTTTTTAAATGTAAAATCTGACCATGATTTTTCCCTTATATGTTGAGTGATTGCTTATTTTTGATTAACTTGTTGTATATTATGGATACTAAATAGTTTAAAGTTACATATAAGTTAAAAACATTCTCACCCAGTCTTTTTTTATTTCTTTATGATAATTTCTGATGAATGAAATTTTAGTTTAGTAAAAGTTTTAAATAATTTTGTCTGAACTCTGTGCTTTTCTGAACCAGCTTAAGAAATTTTTTCTTCCTCAAAGTCAAAAAAATAGTCTATGACATTTTATTGCAAATTATTTGAAATTTTGTTTTTTATATTTATACAATGCTCTTAGATGAAACCATGTTTGAAATATTCAAAGTTGAGTCTTTTTTCATTCTATGTTTTATTTAAAAGTTTGGAAGTAATAATCTATCTCTAGAATATTAGGAATGCAAATTTTGCTTGCCAGATGGAAAGCATAATCAATATGAAATTCATTTATGAATATGGTGTGAAGTAAGGTTCTAATCTCCTTCCTTATGCAGAAAACAAAATGTTATAATTCAGTTTATTGTATTTGATTATATATTAATATTCAGTGTTATCTATGTCATATATGAGGCTTCTGTATTTGTATAGTTCCCTTTTTCCATTCTCTTTTTATTCATTTGGTTTACTTAACCAATTTTACTTTAATATTTAATATCTACATTACTGAATTTCTGTAATGAATTTTGATTATTTATTATGGTGAATTTCTTAGTCTTATATTTTTATGAGATTTAAGCTAATCTCTTCTATGTAAATGTCAATGTTATGTTCCTTTTCTTCAGAGATTTTATTTAATTGTGATTGAAATCACATTATTTATGGATATGTGATAGAGAAATTACATATATATGATGGAGATCTTTAAACATAAACATGACCTATGTCTCCACTTATTTGAGTGCTTTATTTAAATTGTACCTTAACCAATTTCCTTGGAACTTTGTAGAAGGGAAACTCTGCAAATCAGCCTGTGATCAGTCTTGGACAAACTAACCCTTATATTTTCAAATTATATTTTGAATTTTAAAATTATCTCATTGATTTTTTAAATGATTCTTATTTGTTCATAAAGGTAATCTATATGGTAGATAGTATTTATAATTTATTTAGACTTAATTTGTGTCCTACTATATGGGTAATTTGCATAAACATTTTATTTGAGAAAATGTTTTCTGTGATAGTGGCATGTAATTCTAAATAGGTTTATTTTGTGAATTATGATAACTGTATTACATCAATTTTTTACATTTCTGATTTGCTTTCTGACTGATATGTTAAGTACTATAAGAGCTGTATTAAAATATCTTAGTATGATAATGGACTTCTGTTTATGATTTCTAATCTTACTCCTTTGCATGATTCCAGCTTTTTGAAACTTAATGTAACTTGTTTTATAGCCTAACATAAGGTCTTTCCTGAAAAAACGCTCTATGTGTACTTGAGCAATATATTATTATTCTGTTCTTTTTGGATAGAGTGCTATGTAGAGGTCTAGTAGGTCTTATTGTTTAGTGTTGTTCAAGTCTATTTTCTTGTTAATATTCTCTCTGGTCTTATTCATTATTTAAAGTGTATATCAATGTCTTTCTTTTTGTTGAATTGCCTATTTTCTGCTTAAATTCTGTCAGTGTGTTGCTTCATGTATTTGTGGCTTTGTCCTATATTTGTAATTGTTATGTCTTCTGGATTAATTGACTCCTGTCATTATAAAATATCTCTAGTACTAATTTTTATTCGAAAGCATATTTACTGCAACAACAATTAAAATAAAAATATTTAAAAAAACAACAAAAGTGTATTTTGTCTGATATTAATACAACCACTCTGGCTCTTCTTGGCTATGGTTTTCATGGTATTTTTTCCTGACTTTTTACTTTAACCATATTTCTGTTTTGAACCTAAAGTGCATATCTTATAGACAGTGTATGACAGTCATTTTTTAAAAAGTAGCTTATTTTGTAAATTTCTATACTTTGAAGTGTTTAATCAATTTATATTTAGTATAATTATTGTTAAGGTGGTATATATATATCTACCACTTTGTTATTTGCTTTCTCTGTCTTATATTTCCTTTATTACTTCATTACTACCTTTTTTGAGCAGTAAATAGGTATGTCTTAGCATAGCATTTCAATTGCCATATCATTTATTTTACTGTTACTTAAAAATTATTTTCATAGTAGCTTCCCTGAGATTACAAATGATAACTTATAAAAGAATCTATTTTGGACTAATACTAACTTAATTTTAACAGGATACAAAAGCTTTGTTTCTCTATTGCCCCTACCTTCCCACACTTGTACTCCTATTGTATAAATTACATTCTTACACATGTGTGGCCGTCAACAGAAATACATATAATTACTACTTTATGTAGTTGACTTTTAAATCTAGTAAGAAGTATAGTGTTACAAAAGAATACATTTTATGCAATTTTTATATTTATCTATGTATGTTTACTGATGTATTTTTTCTTTTATATTCAGGTTACTTCCTGGTGTTTTTTCTTTCCTCCTCAAGGACTCCATTTAGTATTTCTTATAAGACAGATTTAGTGACAATATTCTCAGCTCTTGATAATATGGCAATGTCTTAATATTTATTTTTAAATGATAGTTTTGAGTAATATATGATTATTAGTCCTTTTTTTGAACTTTAAATATGTCAGCATATACTTTCTGATCCCCTAGTTTTGGATGATAAAGCCAGTATTAATCTTATGAAGATCCTTTGTGTGTGAAACATTATTTCTATCTTTTATCTCTGAAATTTTCTACATTTTTTAGTTCCTTACACATCTTTCTTCAGAACTTTGCACATATTTAAAATAGCTAATTGGACTAATAAATTCAACATCTAAACTTTTTTGTTTTTAACATGTTCCGTAGTTTTGCTGAAAAATGGACATTTCAAAAAATATACTGTAGCAACTCTGGGGATGAGATTGTCAGTCCTCCCCTGTGTTTGTTCCTATTTCTGTTTGCTGAAGTTGTTACTTCTTTGCTTCATGACCTTTATGAATGAATTCTGTAAAATCTGTTTTCTTTGTCATGTGTAACCACTGAAATTTCTTCTCAGTTATCCTACTGGTCTATTAATGATCAGACAATGATCCTTAAAAGTCTGGAAACAATAAACCTTCTTGTCTTTGCCAAGGGATTTTGTGTGCTTGTTTAAGCACATCCTCAACAAGAATTTAGACAGTTGTCGACTCTGCCTTAGTTTTCACTTTCTGCTTTCACAGAATGTCAACATCAGCCAGAGTTCAGAACTTGGAGGGCTCCTTCAGTATCATCAGTGCATGTGAGCAGCCCTGGGCTTTTTAGCACATCCTTGTGCATTTTGCAGTTCTCCAGATTCTCAGGAATATGTTTTAGCTTTACAAACACTCTACACATCTCATTCTCTTCAACAGCTTTGGCTAGATTTGTTGTCCAGTCTGTCGGTTGCCCCAGCTATTATCCACAAAGGTGGCCACAAATTTAATTAATCGCCTGTGATTATTTTTGTGTGTGACAGTCATGCCTTGGGAAAAACTCTTGGGGGAGACTTATTCTACTGGGTGAGTTTTATATTAAATACAGACATCCTTGCAAGTGGAGTCTTCCAAAAAAAAAAAAAACAACCCAGACAAGTCAAATAATGATAATTCTCATAGAATGAAGCTTTGAAGGCATTCCAGTTCCGTTCTGCTCTCTGTGGTGGTGGCCTGACTGCTGGTGTTCTCCACAGTGTGGGCTGTTGTTCTTCAAAGCTGACAAGGACCAGAGGAGGAAGGGATTAGGACAAGTTCGAACACCACAAAACTCATACTTCTAAGGTCAGGCTGTTTTTCTTCAATAAATGTACCTTACATTGCCGAAAGCCTTCAGTTAATCTCCATAGTTCTAAGAAAGTTAATTTGGGCATTTTCTGGCCATTTTTCTTATTACCTATATAGAGGAGACTTTTCAGATGTTCTTACTCTACCAGTTTTCCTGACGCCCTTCACTAGGTCTGTATGTTAGAATGTTGGGCTTTTGTTTCACATTTTTCAACAAGCTTATTTTCCTTTAGTATTGTTTGCTGTAAAATATGCTGTCAAACATGTCAACAGCTCTTGGTTTACTTGGTAAGGTGAAATTCTCCTTTAGCCCCAGATCAAACAAATAAACTCACATTGATTATTTTAATGTTTTGCACTGTATTTTATTTGCATTTAGATTTTATTTATCTGAAATTTATTTTTGTCATAATGTGAATTAGATGTAAATTAGGAAGACTACTGTGTTTTTTAATAAATATACTACATTATTTCAGTCCCATTTTTTAAAGTAAATGATCTCTTTCTCACTGAATTCAAATACCACTTCTAAAAATGTTAAGATCTATTTGGAGGCTCTAGTTTTTCCCTCTGATCTTTATTACAATGCCAGAAATAAATAGTGCTTTATTCTAATAGTATTATATGATGTTTTTAATATCTGGTTTTTAACATTATTCTTATTTTTCATATACCTCTCGGCTAGTCTTCCACACTAACTTCATTTCATGCAGTTTGAAATAAATATTTCTTTTTATTATGTTTTATATTAATTTGGGGATAACTGACATAGTATTTTATTAAACCTTTGCATGACATGTCATTCTTTGTTATGCGGGTCTTGATTTGAACTTCTAAATAAGAATTTGTGTTTGCTTTATATAAATTCTTCCTTTTGTATTGGGATTTATTCCTGAATATTTTATACCTCTCGACAAAATTTTGTAAGTATTGTCACTATGTTCTTAGTAGATTGTTTCTCTTATAAATAAGAGCTATTATGTTTTTTATGTTTATGTATGGCCACTTTTCCAAAACCATTTACTGTAGTTTTCAATAGAATATTCTGTTTTCCTAGATATTCAATTATATAATCTACATTTTAAGACATGTTAACTATTCACATCCAATATTATAACAGTAACATTTGGTTTCATTATCCAATTGCATATATTTAGCTAAACTTTCACAAGACATGATTAATAATAGTGTTGATAAAAGATAATCCATTTTCACTCTTTAGTTCATTGGGCCTGCATATAGCATTTTATGATTTATTTTGATATTTGCTGTTGGTTCTTTATATTATATTTGGGTAGTTTTTCTTTGTTCTAGTTTAAAAATTATGAAAACTATATAGTGAAGTGTCAAATGGCTATTTTGCAACATGTTGGCCATATCCATGTTTATTTTCTCCTTTAATTTGTTAATGTAATGAATCATGACTTAAACTTACTAATTTTTATCATCTTACAACACAAATAAATACATTCTGTCTTATTATGATCTATTATTTCTTTGAGCACTGATAGACTTGATTTGCTGTATTTTACTCTGAATCTTATATCAATTTTATAAATTAAAACAGCCTATGATATTATTTTATACTATTTTAATCAATATTTATTAACTGATGGTAGTGGCACAAAGTGAAATTAATCTATTTCTTATTTTACAAAATAATTCTCCATAATTCATTTATTTTTGTTTATTTTTTTTAGCTAGAATATCTGAAAAAACTTTATGAGCAACTAGTATGGAAGAAAAAAAGTTATGGACTTAAATATATGGAAGTACTTAATAATTTTTACGCAGCAGTAAGTTGACCTTTCTCTCCTTCTCACTAGATTTTCATTTTTTATTTCCAGTCATTACTTATACAACTCAAGTAATTTTATTATTTTATATACTATTTGTTTTTGAGACATATAACCATGTATGAATGATTCTTTTATTCTTTTCTTAAAGAAAAAATCATGGGACTTTGATCTTTCTAATGTCACAAAAGATTTTTCAGATCTTTCAGTAACATATAATCAATTGACGAATGAAAATAAACAACTTGAGAATGATATTGAAACCACTGCAGATTTAATCAGTAACAGGTAATTTCTGCACGCTTAATTTTTATTCTTATATAACACACCTAATATGTTAAATATAAGTTAAATCTCTTCGTTTTGTGTTTCTTGATGGTATGGTGGTGTTTGTGTTTATCACAAACATAAATTTTGTTTCTGTTTCAAATTTTGCTCTTTAATCACTCTGAATCCTTTTAAAAAATCAAAATAGTGAGAAAATGATCTTATAAAGAGTTTTACCCTCAGTCATATCACCTCTTTTTGAAATATCCTCTTATACTCAAAAATACTTGAAAATTAAAATACATCTAATGAAGTTCATGATCTCCTTCAATCAACCCTGAGCTCCCTGCAATTACTAAATTACTTCTCTTGTCTGGGAAAGCTACAATTCTTTTGACTCCTCTTTCTATTTCAACACTCACATTTAACATATTAACAAGAAATGTTCTGTATACAAAGTACTTTTAAAATCTATTTGCTTTTCACTATTCCACTGCACCCTGTTACAAGCTTTCGTCATATATTGAATGAATTTGCAGTGACCTTCAAAGCTGCTTTACACGTAGTGTCTATGCTCATTTTCCAATCTATTATCTACATTGTGGGAGGCACATTCTTTGCTATTTTAAATTGTAGGTGTGATCATTTTTTCTACACACTTGCATCAATTTTAGCGGATAAAAGGGGTCAAAACCCTCCCCTTAATGTATCCCACAAGGTCTCTGAATAGGCAGGCACACTGGCCTCTGCAATCTCATATCATACCTGGTTCACCCTTATTTATTTGATTCAAATGCATTTACCTTACATGAATTTCTCCTACTTGCTGCATATTCTTCCCAACCCATATTCTTCCTAACCCATATTTCCATTTCTTATTATGGTTTTATTCTTCTTTATACCTACTTGACTACTATTTATTTTCAAAATTACAGCTTAGGAATCAATTCTGGGAAGATTTCACTGACTGGGTAGTTAAATCCAATTCCTCTATTACATGGTACACATACTTTTCTTCTTCACATTTCTTATTTGCAATTTTATATGTGTGAATACTGGGCAAATGTATGTTTCCCTCAAAAAAAAGTGGGAAGATGCATGAGGGCAGATATAGACCATGACTATATTTTCTTCAACTTTGAATCTCCCTCATCAAACATAGTGCCTGACACATACTATGCTATCCAAAATTAATTATTGAAGGTAGGGAAAGAGGAAAGAAGAGAGAAGTGATGGTGATACTTGATGATTGTATAGGAAGTTTTTCTTAATTTTTTTATTGTTATTCAAGTATAGTTATCTCCATTTTGTTAAATTTTCTTAGTGGTGATTTTATCTTTAGAAATGATAGAATGCCACTAATTGCAAAATTTATCCATATATTAAACATATGTTTTTTAAAGAAAGCAAAGAGAACATTGTTTTCTGGGTAACCAAAAACAGTAGTTGCTAATGTTACTACATTTTATTTCATTAAGAAGGAAAACCAGAGGAGAAGAAAAATATTTGAAGAGTAGGTAAGCTAGTAGATAAGACCCCTGTGGAGGAAAGGAAGAGAATGTGAGAGGACATTTATTAGGTTATCCTGCAGTAAGGAGCAACCTCCGAATCTTAGTGATATATTGGCATGAGTATAAGGTTTGTTTTTCACTTGCATTGCAGCTCATCTGTGTTTGTGCTTCATGCTATTTCTGCCTCTCAAACCCAGGGCAAAGGATTGGGTCCTCTAGGGCATATTGCTCCAATAGCACATGCGCATTAGTGAGATCACTGATGGCTCTTACCATTTCCACAGGAAGATGATACATACATGTTACTTCTGCTCACACTTCATTGAACAAAGCAGGTCATATGGCCCGCCTGATGTCAACAGGGTGGGAATTCTGATACTCTTCAAAAGAGAGATAGTGAATAAAGAGGAACATTAATACAATCTATCACTTGCAGTGAGAAGGTAGTCCCATTTATGGGGAAAGATTTCCATGTTATGCATTATGCATGTCCAGGTAACATCTTAAGATGCCACTTGATTACTTAATTTTTCCTTGAAATTAAAAATTAATGGATGGTTTTAACAGCAGGTTACACTGTGCTGAACAGAGAATTAGTGAAGGATTAGTAAAATAAGAGAGAAATTAAGGGATGTGTAGGCGAGAGTCAGGTCTACTACATATCTAAGTGATGTTCCAAAGGAAGAGAAGATAAAATAAAGGACAAAGCCAATATTTGATGACATAATCAGCAGTACACATATTGCAAATAGTTCATATATTCTTGTTTGTAATTGGCAAGTCTTTCAGATAGATACATGAAAAAAAAATTTCCTCCAAATTTTTTAAATTTATTCCAAATTTTCTAGTCATTTTATGATATCTTATTTGATATGGATGTTTAAAGCTCATCTTTTACTTTTTAAATATAATATCAATAGTTATTTTATAATCTATATCTAATAATATAAATAGCTGTAATCTTTGCAATCTTCTTCTTTCTCATGCTTTTATAGTTGTGTTTTCTCATGTTCTCAGCTATTTTTACTGTGTTGTACATTTTCTTCTGGAAGCTATTTGTGGAAAACCTTTGAATTCTAGGATAAATTTAAGTAAATCATTTGTAGCACCATATTTTTGTTTGAGAGGAGTTTTGTTTCTCAATTTGTGTCCTTAAGTATGCCCCAAAGTTTTTTTTTTAATTTCCCAAGTCATGATATTCAAAGCTCCATTTTATCAAAATTTCCAGTACTTTCAGAGCAAATTATCTTGTGTGACCTATTCTTAGCACATTATAATGCCTATTTCTTATAGAAAAGAAAATACAAAAAATTGTAAAAAAACACATTGAATATCAATTTATTTTAATATATAGATGTTTAATATATAGATTCCCTAATATGCCGCTGATTTTTAATGAAACTAGTTGTGTGTCCTAATTTAATTCCTAGCATGATATAATTTTTGTTATGTTGTTATACAAATGTAAAACACATCACTTGATCTGTACAAAAATCTATTACATGAGCACACCATTATTTTTATCAAAATACTCTAACTTCTATATGTAGGTTTTTATTTTTATGCTTTTGTATAAATTTTGTGGAGAATTTTTTGTTTCAGAAATGATTTTTAGCATCATTCCTTTTTAAAATTTGAAATAGACTTATAGAGGTTATATTGCCTGTACTACTTTTAAATTCCTAGTGCCTCTTCAACACTACTTCCCACCAAGACCGTACCATTTACTGAAGATGAGCAGTACGTGAGCTTGTTGTTAGGTACCTGTGCTAACACCAAGCACTGTGGTTGTTAAAAAGTCTATTCAAACATGATAAATGAAAGTATATATTCTTAATATTGTTTCAAACTCTATTTCTTTGATTATTAAGGAGGTACATCTTCTCTTGAATTCTGTTTTTTCTAAATAATTGTGGTATGCCTCCAAGGAAGAAATAAGGAACTTGGCATTCAGATAGGCAAAGCAGTTTTCATAAAGTCTCACAACCAGCACTGCTGGCACTTAAAAACTGACTTTCTATATTCAGATTCAGGAATTTTTACCTTATCTCATTTTTTTTTTTTGCAATTTAATCTGACTTTAGATAACTCACATTTAGTAAGTGGTCAAATATGCTTGACCTATTACTCTAATAATAACCATCCCAAATAGCAGTCCTAACATTAAAATTGCAGTTTTCTTAGGGCACAGGTAAGATTGCAGTGAAATCACGGAGTCGCACTTTCCATTGTGTGGCTAGAGCTCAGAACCAATGCTTGACCTGACTGTGACTGCATGTGTGTGTACGTGTGTTTTTATGTAGCAGGCAGGTAGGGAAAATATTGAGGGGAGAAAACTTAAGGTTAGATGATGATTCATTTTAAAGTTTGTGACTCTGCTTAAGTCTACGGAAATCTGCTAAAGAAGCTGTCTGGTCAGATTTCTCCTTAGTGGTAACTGGATACTTAAGGTTAGAATAACTAGTTTGATAGTGATGCCAGATATTAAAAGAGAAATGTTGGAGGGGGAAAAAAAGTTGGAAGAAAGATATTGATATGATCGATTTGGAGTTGTGTATGGCATGATTCAAGGGTAGGTGTTTAGATATCACTTTGATTTATGGGTCTGAAATTGAGGAAAGATATTCATGGAGACAGAAGTGAGGTGCTAACTGGAGAAGCACTTCAGATTGGCAAGCAAACATTTTAATGTTTATCCCTTCATGCATAGTCTCCCCTATTATCAACACATCTCACCAGAGTGGTGCATTTGTTACAATTGGTGAAACTACACTGACATATTGCAGTCACCCAAAATCTGTAGCTTACATTAGGGTTCACTCTTGATGTTGCACATTCTTTGGGTTTGGACAAATGAATAATGACATTCACCACGATGGTACCATCCAGAGTATTTTCACTATCCTAAATATTCTCTATGCTGTGTCTACTCATCCTCCTGTTCCCCCTTCATAAACTCAGGCAACCACTGATCTATTTAATGTCTCCACAATCCCTATTGTTGCGATCACACAGCATGCAGCCTTTTCAGATTGGCTTCATTCACTTACCGATAAGCACTTTTAGTGTGTCCATGTGTTTTCATGGTTGGTAACTCATTTGTTTGTCGTGCTGATTAAAATTCCATATCTGGATATATAACAGTTTATTTTTCCATTCACCTATGGAAGGACACCTTGGTTGTTTCTCAGTTTTGGTAATCATAAATAAGTCCTCTATATGAGTCTGTTTCTAATTAAGAAAAAATGAGACCTCTTATAGACACAGACAACAGTATGGTGACTACTAGAAGGAAAGGGGGTGGCAGAGGTAAAAGAAGGTAAAAGGGAGATAAATGGTGATGGAAGGAGACTTGTCTTGGGGTGGTGAACACATAAAAGATATACAGATGATGTGTTATAAAATTGTACACCTGAAACCTATATATTTTTACTAGCTGATGTCACCAAATAAATTCAATAAAATATAAATAAACAAACAAACACACAAATAAATCCTTTATAAACCTCT